AGGGGGGGGGGGTTAGAAGCTAATTGCTTGAATATGAAGAGGGGAGGTTAAGAGTTTGCTGTTTCCCGTTTTATTTTTATTTCATCGGCAACTTTTATGTACTATATACAAAAATCGACGTCTTATTTTTTTTTAAGAAAAGGAATTTAATGCCTTTTTATGTTCGTTTACATAATATATACAGCATAAGTGGCCGTGTTGTATACAATATATCAACTCGAGGCGTAGCCGTAGCCGTAGGAAGGGGGGGGGGGGGGGGGGGGGGGGGGGGGGAGGGTCACGCTAAACATAATCACGGAAAGTCAAAATGTAGCAGTCCACTCTAAACAGTGGAGACGTGAAAAACATTAAAGCTGGCCTAATCCAAAATCTAAGTACACAGAGGTACTATGTTTTAAATGTCAGCTAACATTTTACATCATTTTTGAGTAATACTATGAGGTTTTTAAGCATGACAATGCAATTTCTTATGATATGACAACACAGAAACCTAGCTAGGGCCATCTGTGACGCAATAAGTGAGCAAGTGTTTTTCTCATGTAAACTGAAGGCATGATTTGTTCGCCTGTAAGGAAGAGCCTATCGTTCTAGGATCATTAGCGTCCCATGCGAACAGGGCCTCAGATAAAGCAATAAGGAGTAATGCACTGGCCTTTTGAACAACATTGCGCACGACAGTATCCAAACATCCATATCTGTTAGTCGACTGGTATTGCAAATATTATGCGCCGAACATAAACACCTTACACTCGTTTCGCTGAGTCCACGAACGCCAAGATATTTCTTTTGCAGTTCTTCACTGATACGCTTGTGTGACCACTTAAACTTGATATCAAAATCCTTAATTTCTGCAGGATCAATAAACCTCTCCATTTTGTTCAGGGAGTCTGCCAAGCAAACTTCCGCCCGTCATAAAAAAAACAAAACAACAAAAAACCTGCTACGTTTAGACTTTCCCGTATGAGTGTAGCGTCAACCCCCTGAAATGTTCGTAAGCATGCTTTTTAAATGGGGACTGTAAGACTATGAAAAATGAAAATAAAAAAGCATTACAGTCTATTTCTTTTTTACGTCGATTTTTATATACAGTCAATTCGAAAAATGTTGTCGTCGACCAACTCAAGCCTACGCGACTGGACCGAAAGGAACTCTGGGTAGTAATCATTGAAGCCGAGTTGACTCCATAATTTTATCTGACTAGTTATGCCTGGTTTACAGCACGAATCTTCGTAGGCGAGCGGGAAGCGTTGAAGAAGACGTTTTTTTGATGCCTTCATATTTTCGGAATTGTGAACTGAATCACAACTACTTTGTTTTTCTTTCCTTAAACCTGAAGACATGCATTTGATGGATTGTTTCTCGCCATTATTATCTTATTACTAGCGGGAACAATTGGTTCAGAACGAATATTTAACCGCTTCAGTGGTTTTTACTCACATTTCTTTCGGTCCAGTCGCGTAGTCTTGAGCCGGTCAACGACAACGTTTCTTTTGAATTGACTGTATGGTACCTAAAAGTTGCCGGTAACATAAAAAAAAACAACAAAAAACGAAAAACCGCAAACTCTAGTAGTATCGTAAATTTTTGTTAACGATATATCTTCTCTTTATCAAAGTTGAAAATATTTTTAAAAAATAAAGAAAAAAACAAATAATATAAATCAGAAAACTCATGAATTGTAAATTTCTATTTAAATGATATCTGATCTCGTGAATTTAGAAAAGAGGGTCTTGTTTTCCAATCTAATTTTTTTAAAAATTCAAACGAAAATGGTATGAACGAAACGCCCACGGATTATTTCTATATTAGCCAAGAGTTAAGAGTTAAGATCTAGTGAAAAATAAATAAAAATAGAAAAGTTTTTCTGTCACTAGATCAGTCTAAAATGGGTGTCATTTCAACAGAATTTGCTCAAATTGTACTAACTTCATACCCGAGAGTATTTGAATACTAATAGCTATATATTCTGTTTCCGAAGAAATTAATATTCACACCTATTGTTAAAACGACAACACAGGCTGCACGAGGTTTTTCAAGATATTTTCTATCACTTTTTTAACACTAGTGTTGAGAAACGTAAAATTAATTTTACATAAAAATTTTATAGGAGTAATAGGGATTAAAAATTCCGAAGTAAAATGCACAAATAATTCATTTAAAAATATATGTGGATAAAAGTATTATGGGACGACCGCTCTCGGTACGAGCTACGCGCGGGATCTTTATTCCACTTTCTCCGACTCTCTTCTTCTTCTCTCTTCTGACTTAAACTAATTACATGAGCTCTATCTATAATAACTTCATGACAGGTGTCACTCCACAATCAATGTGATATTATTGCTGAGTCTTGATTGGCTAAAGGAAATAGTAAATTCCTAAGTGTGATATTTTATTAAAGAGTAATACGAGTAAACATCTTACAATCAAACATAACTTAAACTAAAGCTAATATTTGAATATATGGCAAATGTGTAGAAAAGACTGTGAGGAATATTTCTATCATAAGATTTAAAAGAATAGTGCTAAAATAACTAATCAAAGGAGTAAAGAGTGTTTAGGGTGTAATCAGAGGTGTACACGCTAATGGGAGGAGCTAAGAGGTTTACTTGTGAATTCAATGCATACCATTATCTAAACTTGTGCGTGATGGTAGCCTTACTTAAATCTTATATCGATATTTTTAATAACTAATTGATCGTTCTTTATCTTGTTTTCATACGATAAGAAATAGTAATTAGAAAACTGATGTCTAGCTTAGTCTGTAAAAACATTTATTTTCTCTCTCATGACAAAAGCACTTTCAAACAGCCATCTATTCATTAAAAAAAAATAAAAATACAAAAATAAAAAGAATAAATAAATAAATAAAAAATAAATAAATAAATACAATATAAATAAATAAATAAATAAAAAAATCAAGCAAAATATAAAAAAATCTTTAAAGATTCCTTTGTAGAAGATGTCACATGCTAAGGAAGAGTTTACTGAGTTTGACGTAAATGTGTTGCCTAAGATACGTTAAGAAGCAACTGCTATGTAATTTTTGCGCTTTGGTTAAAAACAAGAGCATAACCAAGAGTGAATGCGTAAAGATATAAGTTTGGATCGTTTATTTATTTCGTTTTGTTTTTCGTTCGTCCTTTCGACTTCCTTTGTTCCTTTCTCGTCTCATTATTCTTATTTTTCATTCTTGTTTCTGTCTTAGTTTTCTTTATTCCTTACATCAGCCTGTCTTTCTCTTCTTTTGCATTTCCTTTTCATTTAACTTTAGTTCAATATATCTAAATTTCTTATTTATTTCGAACATTTTATGCTCAAAGGAATGACAAGTGGTCTTAAATGTGGAAAAAATAAAATAAAATAAAATAAAATAATAAATAAATAAAAAACAAAATTTCGCCTGAGGTTAAGTGTTTTATTGTATCATTGTATCATTAGACAATTACCAATAATATGGATAAAAAGCGCGCCATTTAGCAATTTTCGCCATTTTGTTTTTAGAGATCAAAACAATAAACGGAAAGACCACACGCGCGCGCGCAAGCTGATGACGCACGGGAGTGGGGAAGGCGAAATTTAAATAGCATCCGGTTACTAAAAATAGCCCAACAGGGAATTTAGATGGCGCGCGCGTTATAATTCTTCCTTCGTAGAAGATGTTACATAGAAAAGCTAGAATAGTTGCATTGACTGAGTTTGTTGTAAAGGTGTGTTGCCTCAGACACGTTAAGAATCAACTGCTATGATAATGTTTTCCTAACTTAATGCAAGTGCCCAATAAGGCGTTACTAATCTGTAAATGGATAAAAAAGCACGCGCTTGGGTTTATGCCTTGATCGATCGAGTGAAATGCAATTCTTAAACTGAAACAACAGCATATCAAGGAGTGTTTTTTTAAAAGGTTGTTTTTGCTCGTTTGTTTATTACTCGGGCTTCCGCAGGAACCCGAGTCTAAAAATGCAGGCCGTTCTTTTTCGTCGTATTTGGTCGCCAAAATGGGGGTCATGGTCCCAGGCGTTCCTAGCTGAGTCGCTGGGAACTGGGGATGAGAATCATAACCGCATGCTAATCAATGCTAATCTAAACCCTGCTTTCTTCGTTATAAAGTTGTTGCGTGAAGAAGCCTTTGGAAAGTGCTATGCCTTATATGATCATCCCACATACAAACGCACTCGCCATTCGTGGTAGGCCCACACTAAAAGATGTAGAGCTTTTTCGGAACGGGTCGGTTCACGAATCTTAGCTTGTAAGCTTATATTACTAGCCAACATGTAAGCTTAAATTACTAGCCAACATGTAAGCTTACTAGCCAAATTCACACTAGTTCTCACGAGGTAACAAATGAGCTATATTCGAGCACAAACCTCGAAAAGACTGCCAAAACTATGACTAGTGACTCAACAGAAAACTATGACGCTGAAATGATTATCTCAGATGTTGAAATAACAGAAAATCTCCTTGAGCAGAACCTCGAAGGTGAAGCAAACAACAACAAGCAAATCGCCATATTGGATAAAGAATATAGTAAGCGAAGCAACTTGAAAAGTAAACATTTAAGTTTAACTTTCTTGTTAAATATCCTGACTTATTTGTTTGTTTTTGCTGTATTCAATAGTCGTAAAATACGATTTGATTTTGCACAAATAACCATTTGTGTTTATATCGTACAAGCGATTGTGAACATTGGTTTGTATTACGTATGGAATTGCACATGCTTTAATAGTAGAAGACGTGGTAAATACTCTTGGTGTCTGTAACATACTAAAAAAAGTTACCCATTCTACAAATGTACATGAACATAATGATGTTTTAGTGTCAATAAAGGTACAAGAATTCAGATCTCGTTATGCAAAGTATGTATTTCATAATTGTCATGTTGAATGTGATAGTCATGGCTCTAGACGCGATCATGAACCGAGCAGAGTACCAGTGAACAGATTAAAACGTGTCTTTCAGAAAAAACAGAAAACTAAGGAGTTATGTATGCAGAAATTTCAGTAAAAACACTGCCTAAGTCATCGAAAGTTCATTGTCTTATTAAAAATATTTCAACGAAAAAGAGAAGTATACAGTACAAACCAGGTATCAGATTTGTACAAAAAATGAGAAGGAAACCAATATTCAGAACAGGAAAACTTAACTCTTCAATGAGATATGTTTACAATTCCAGTACAGATAAATATAGGGATAAATATCTCAAATACGGGTGGTTTTCGTGTAATTTCCCATATAGTGAGTATAAGGGTTTAGGTCATAAAAGCAACTGTGCAAATTACAAGTTTTTTAATGATATAGAGAAAAACCCAGGTCCTGTCACCCACCATGTTGATGCTAGTAAAACAGTAAGTGCAGCATATCGTCAAGGGGATGTTGTTATATTTGGAGAAAATGCCGGGCAACAATGTGTTGCCACGAGTTTATGTGCTTTAATTCATCACCAAATGAAAGGGATAACCAACTCTGATGACTTAAAACAAATCATGCATATTGGGGATCAATTGTATAGCAGTTTGTCACAACTTGCACAACAATCGTTTTTACTGCTAACAGAATTACCAGCAGTGCTTACAGTATTAGAGGAAAATTACCAGCTAGTATACAGCGAAAGTTACACTGGTGATGTTCATGGTGAGTCTACCATTGAAGGATATCAATATTGCATGGGCATGAAAAGAGCTTTTGAATCATTGCTAAATGAACAATACAGCTAATTTATTCTAACAGTTAGTTGTATTGCTGTCGGTATTATTTACTGTACTGATAATGGTTATTTTAAAGTGTTTGACTCTCATGCTAGAGATGTTTATGGTAAGAGTCAACCTCCAGGGACATGTATTATTAGATATATCATCTATAGAGAATTTAGTGGAATACTTAGGTTTATATGGATTCTGATTAAAAAAGCAGTTATCTCTCACGCTCTAATAGTAATTGGTTGACAGAATGCTGCAATTTTCGTAACACAAACGTACCGTGACTTCACACGCAAGAAGAAGCCCTAGTACACGATCATGGATCGTCTAGTTTTGTTTTGTTTTTCGTTCCTTTTTCTCGTGTAATTATTTCTATTTTTCATTCTTGTTTCTGTCTTAGTTTTCTTCATTCCTTACATCAGCTTTTCTTTCTCTTCTTTCGCTCTTTCTTTTCATTCTATTCTTTATATATCTTCTTTCGTTTTATTTGTTTGTTACTTCAATTTTTTTATTTATTTGGCACATTGCCAATAATTTCATGTTTTCAAACAAAGCTTCCAATAATCCTTCTTATTTTTTCACTGATAAAGAAAGAAGTTTTTTTAAGGAAGGAAAGAAGTGAAACGAAAAGAAAAGAGAAGAAAAAGCAGTCAAAAAAGCGAAGGCAAAAAA